CTCTTCCCGGACTAGGACTCCATGTACAGGTACAGATGCTCGTCTATCTTCGATGTGTGGAGTAGCGTTGGGCTCGATAGATATTGATTGAGCTCCTCCAGGGTCCGTTGGCACTCCAGGGTCCACGAGAAGTTATTCTTCTTTTTCAATAGTGAGAAGAACCGGTGGCTCTTGTCGAAAGACCTCGAGATGAATTGCCCCAGGGCGGCTATGTGTCCGGTTAATCTTTGTACGACCTTCACGTTGTCCACAACAGTGATATCTTCGATGGCTTTGATTTATCGGGGTTGATCTCGATTCCCCGGTTGGATACCATGAATCTGAGGAATTTACCGGATCCGATTGTATTTCTTCAATATGTTGAAGGTTTCATATTGTATTTCTTCAATATGTTGAAGGTTTCCTGGAAATATTTCAAACGGTCCTCTGCTTGCAGGGACATAACCAACATATCGTCAATGTAAACCTCTATTGATTTTCCTATTCGTTCCTCAAACATCCGATTTACTAGGCATTGGTAAGTGGCGCCGGCATTTTTTAGTCCGAATGGCATCATGTTATAGCAGTAGGTGCCGTACTTAGTGATGAAGGAGGTTTTTCCCGATCGCTCGGGTTCATCCGTATTTGGTTGTACCCGGAATAGGCGTCGAGAAAATTGAGGATCTCGTGTTCGACCGTCGCATCGATCATGCGATCGATGTTGGGCAGAGGAAGGAGTTTTTGGGACATGCCTTATTCAAGTCTTTATAGTCTACACACATTCTTAATTTTAGATACCTCATCCTTGATGAAAGCATATTTGACCTCGGATTGGGGTCTACTTTTCTGCTTGAACGGGTGGAACTTCGGGTCTAGGCTTAGCTTGTGAGTAGTTATTTCTAGCGGGATCCCTGTCATATCAAGGTGGGACCAAGCGAAATAATCTTCGTTAGCTATAAAAAATTGAATGAGTTTTTTCCTGAGCTCGAGATTTTACCCCGTGCCCAGGTATACCTTTCGATCAGGCAAGCGTTCGATCAATACAACTTGCTCCAGCTCCTCGACTATTTATTTGGTAGCATCGGAATCATCGGGGGCTATGAAAGACCTGGGAACACCGTAGTCGCTGTCCTCACCCATCTCCTGCCTTTTCGGTCGAGACGGAGTCGGCATAAGTGTCGGAAATGTGGATATCGGGACCAACTCGTCGACTACGAACATCTCTTCTGCGGTCGGTTGTTCTCTGTAAACTTTTTTTATTCCTTTTGGCGCCAGGAACTTCAACACCTGGTGCAGAGTCAAGGGGACCTCCCTCATGTTGTGAATCTAAGGCCTCCCGAATAAAGAATTGTACCTCATTTTCCATTCGATCACATAGAACTTTGCTTCCTGAACGGTCCCAGCGGTGTTCACCGGTAATGTTATCTCTCCTATAGTGGTCTCACATTCCATGTTGAACCCGTTTAAGACTCGGATCGCCGGCACAATCTGATCTCACAGGTCGAGCTATTCCACGACCCTCGATTAGATGATGTTGGTCGAGCTACCTGGATCAATTAATACACACTTAACTCAAAATTTATTTATAAGTACTGATATTACCAATGCATCATTGTGGGGCTGCACGATCCCTTCAGCGTCTTCGTCGTTGAAGGACAATGTTCCCTCTGTCACATAATCCCGAGTTCATTTTTCTCTTGTGATAGATACTTTGGTGCGCTTTAGCATCGGCCCCTAGGGAACATCAACCTCACCGATGATCATATTGATAACGTGATGAGGCTCCTCATGTTCGGTTTGTTTACCAGAATTTCTGTTCCTAAAGTGGTTCTTAGCTCGATCGCTCAGGAACTCTTGGAGATGCCCGTTGTTGAATAGCCGGGCTACTTCCTCTCTCAATTGTCGGCAATCTTCTGTCATGTGACCGTGAGTCCCATGATATTTGCACATTAGGTTAGGATCCCGTTGGGCTGGATCGAACTGTAAAGGTCGGGGCCATTTGGTGTCGTTGATACGTCCGATGGCGGATACGATGGCGACGACATCGATGATAAAGTTGTACTCTGATAATCTGGGTGCTTCCTTCGGCCCGAAGGGCCTGTCGAAACCGTTTTTGCTCATGAGTCCCCGGTTGTTTTGTCCTCAGTCATTTCTTCTTTCATTTTTACGGGGTTTCGTCTAGATCCACTACATCTTCGGTCTCCATTGTATGGCTGATACTGATCCCTGTTCGACCATGGTTCACAATCAATGTCTCTCCTGACTCTGTCAACTATTCTGGAGGGATAAACAGACCTGGATGGGGCCCCGAGTTGATCATCTTCGACCCTGATTTTTGATTGATACCGATTATGCACGTCGGCCCAAGTGACACCCGGGTATTCCACTAGATTTTGCTTCAACTGTTGTGATGCCAACGAGCTTCGAACATTGAGTCCCTGGGTGAAGGCCTGAATGGCCCAATCGTCTACGACCGGAGGCAAGTACATCCGTTCCATTTGAAACCGGGACACGACTTTCCTAAGTATCTCATTATCCCTCTACTTTACTTTGAAAAGGTCTGACTTCCTAGTCTCGACCTTGATAGCCCCGACGTGCGCTTTTATGAATGATCTGCAAGCATGGCAAACGATTCAATAGAATTAGGAGGTAGGTTGTGATACCATATCATAACTCCCTTGGGTAAAGTTTTTCCGAACTTTTTCAGCAGGACAGACTCGATCTCGTCATCCTCCAAGCCATTTCATTTGATGGCGCATATGTAGGAAGTCACATTCTCATTTGGATTGGTTATTCCGTTATACTTAGAAATTTCGGGCATGCGAAACTTTTTCGGGATCGGCTTCGGAGCCGCGCTCGGAGGAAAAGGTTTTTGAACAAATTTTTTGGAATCCAGGCCCTTCAATATCGGAGGTGCCCCATGGATTTGGTCGACCCTGGAGTTATAGGTTTTCACTTTTTTGTCATTGGCTTCGATTTTCTTCTCTCCCGATTCTATCCGTTTTGTCAACTCTTCGAGAATTTTTATAATCTCGGGATTAGTCCCCGATTCATTTTCATTTGTCCTTTCCGTGATCGGTTCATTTCTGCGGGTAACTTTTCGAAGTGGCTCGGGCTCTACCCTGCTTGGTGCTCGGCGTTGGTTCTGCAACTAAGCTATCTGCCTGTTGAGCCTGTAACATTTATATGATCACTCGGAGGTTGATCCCATCATTTTCACCATTGTGCGTATTCAGGGCAATTGATCAGATTTCTCTGCGTACGCTGTTCTCAGGATCGGTAGGCAAATTTGCTTCGATGGCCACATGCGAACTAGCGTCGATAGGGTCCGCCACCAAAACTTCGTCGAGATCGACTGGGGACACCTCGTTACTGGGTGCTGCATTGTTATTTTCACCATGGTGGTCGGACTCCATGTCCGTGTTTAAAGGGCCAGACTATGGGTTTGACATTTCGATTTTAACCTAGAATCAAAAACACTTCAAAGAACAAGTGTAAAATAGGGTGTGTTACGGGAATTTGTATCAAATTGTCGCTATTATCCTTAGCCCCACGGTGAGCGCAAAACTATTTACCTTCAAAATCGGATAACAATTAAATTTGTAAGTAGTTTTAAGGATATGCGGATTAACTTGACACAAAGCAATAAATAAAGACAAATTAAATAAATAAGGATGAAGTAAGTTCAAACCACGCGAGGAAGACGATTTAAGCCTTAGTGAAATATTTGCCCTCGATCTGGGCTCGTAACAACAAGCACTGACGAACGAAAGCAGAAGAACTAATGACAGAAAAATAATAATAATATATTGCCTTGGAATGCGTGTTACCATGTACTTTATGAATTATAAGACCCCCTTTATATAGTAGAGTCTTACTTTAGATACAATTTTATAAAAGGTAAAAAATCTTTTGATTTACTGATTGCCGGTTCTTTATCGGTACGCGCGGAGATTTTCGCCGTAATATTCTGCCGGTCACGGTTATTTCGGTCTTCCGTTGGCTATGTTGATAATGTTTCTTCAAAGTCATTTGAGGCTAGGACCGATTCCGGAATCATGGCCTTGGTATACTCGAAGGCAAGCGTCCTGTCTCCGGGTTCTAGCTCGGTGGGACTTGAGATCGATTTTTAGTCCTTTATTATCATGTCTCGAGCCTGGCTTACCATGTCAGAGGGTAGGATGCACCACGAGCTCGATTTCGACCGTATACAATAGGTAAAATGCTTTATATTTTAATAGGTCCTTAGTTATTTTATTCATGAACCATTTATAATTATCTTTTAGTTATAGAGTAATTTTTTTATACTTTTAATATATCCATAGTTAATCTCTAAAATATAATACTCCCTCCGTTTTAATTTATGTGAATTTATTTGACTGAGTACGGAGTTTAAGAAAAGAGATAAGACTTTTGAACTTGTGGTGTAAGATGAGGTACATTTATTTTGTGTGGCTATAAATCATTGTATAAAGTAAAATTGTTTTCAAATATGAAAAATGGTCATTTTTTTGATATGGATTAAAAATGAAATAAGTTCACGTAAATTGAAACGGATGGAGTAATAATTTGGAATGAGGGTAAAAGCTAAAATAACAAGAAGCTGACACAAAGAACATCTAGGGAAGTGAGAAAGAGGAACACCTAAAGCAAAGAACTTTGGAACCCCAGAATCAAGTGTAATTCTAATTCCTATCTGTCTTCAAACCCCAAGTAAAGAATAAAGAATAACAGAAACCAGAGAAACCCCACATCCACCCCCACCCACCCCTTATAAACATTATGCACTATAAAAATTTGACATAATAAAGCTAAAGTTTCAGTCTTTGTATTGGAGACTGGAAACACTCCTCCCACCACCCCACCCCCTCTAAAACTCCATCCTCCAAGAAGCTCATAATTTCAGTCTCTCTCTCTCCACTTAATTCCTTCGCCATTTTCATTCAAAATATAAAAAAAAAAAAAAAAAAAA